AGGTATACTACCTACCTCATAATGCTATTTTAAAGACTAAATAAAATAATGTACATTAAGCACTTAGGACTGTGCTTGGTATATACTAACTCCTGATAGCATTTATTAGATTGAGTTGTGGCTGAACTCAATCTAACAGCTTTCTCCCATTGCCCCTATCAGTTGCTCTTATATTTCATAATATTATTTATTTATTTATTTTTTTTTTTTTTGAGACAGAGTCTCCAGATGTCGCCCTGGGTAGAGTGCTGTGGCATTACAGCTCACAGCAACCTCAAACCCATGGGCTTAAGTGATCTTCTTGCCTCAGCCTCCCAAGCAGCTGGGACTATAGGCGCCCGCCAGAATGCCCAGCTATTTTTTGGTTATAGTTGGCATTGTTGTTTGGCAGGCCCAGGCTGGATTCGAACTCGCCAGCTTTGGTGTATGTGACTGGAGCCTTAGCCGCTTGAGCTACAGGCGTCGAGCCATTTCATAACATTTTTGCAAAAGTGTATAAAATTTATGGGCATGAACAAATTTATTAACACAGTAGTATCTATATGAACCACAGACTCGCTGTCTCACCTTTTCTAGTCTTCTAAGGTTTAGTATTTATTCCCAGATTAGTTTGGGGCCAGACAACAATACTCCTCAATGGCACCATATTAACATTTCTAAAATCTATTTTACAGAGTAAGTAAATCTCACCAATTAAGTGACAAATTAGCTGTAAAGATAAATACTTCTGGTCATGAAAATAAATTGTAGCAAATTTTAAAATGTCACCATATCTAATAGGTAAATGCTACTTCCAGAATTTCCATGTTTTAGAGTTATATACACACCATCAAATAAAAGCTTGTGTCCCCATATTAATCTTTATTATCATCTTCAAAAAGTATACTATGTATAAAGAGTATCCATATATTATAGATTTCTACCTTTTGAGTACTAGAATCTTTCTTTAGCAAATTTATACTGGTCATAAAAAGAACGTACTTAATTAACTAAATCTTTAAATAATCCTTCAATTTTATTTTAGGCCAAATTTTCAAAACTTTTTCCTACCTTGCCTTTGAAAAGAAAAACTCATACTTTAAAACTTTCACATTTTCCTTTTGGTAAAGTCACTTTAAGGACATAGCTTCTAGAACAACTGTTATTAATCAAAATGGCAACTTTTATTCCCATTTTATAGAAACGAAATTCAAGGTTATTTAAACCACATATGAAAGAAACTAAGACTTACATTTTTTTACTTCTAATTTGAACCCTTTCCGCTTTCTCACATTGCCTCTCCTATGGATCATTTACAATATTGTATAATTGAGATATGAATAATAGGGTCAAATGGAAAGAAAAAAATATTAAAATGGAATAAAGTGGATAAAACAGGGAAAGTATTAGTTGTATTTCATAGTTAAGAAGGGATTTTAGTACACTAATATTTAATTTTATGAGAATTTAATCATTTACTCAAAGAGAATGCTTGAGGGGTTATGAGGAAATGGAGACACAGGCACTTTATTTGCAAATTATCTGTGGGTGTGGGTGCAGCACTTTTTTCTTGTCTTAAACTTCTGTTTGAGTCACAGTGGCAAATTATAACTTCTTTTAGAGAGGAAGAATCTTGCTTGCAATTATGCCCTCGGGAAATGGTTTCACAATCCTTACCGTATTTTATAAATAAATAGGGTTACAAAAGAAAAGATTCCCTTTGGATAGAAGTAACAATTTCTAAGACCAGAAAAACTCAGACTTTCCAGAAACAAATAGAAACTTCAGCTACATGGCTGAACATTTATCTTTGCTCATATACAAAATCTGTAAAAGGGCTATTATTTTGGCAAGAAGAAAGAAGAGACTAAATAGAGCAATGATGATGATACCCTTTCAAATAAAAAGAAAGGCAAACAACAGGGTGGGTGTGTGAAGGCTCTGCACAGTGGGCTCAGGCATGGTTTAAATGAGTAACATTTTCCCAAGTCTACTTTATTAGAGAACAAACAGAGCATCTTGATGAAAACAGATGAAATCAGGGATTCTCTTCCAAGTATGAGTTAATAAAACATATCTTTTCCCTTAAGACATTCCCCCCTCCCACCCAAAATAATTTGCTACTATGACTCAAACATAAGAATGAAGGCAAGAAAAAAATGTCTTCCCTAATATAATTTCCTTACCCCCCCAGACATATGCATAAGCACTATTCTTGAAATAATATAGCAAAACCCTTTCCCTCCAGCTTTACATAATCCAAAGCTCTAGATGTAGGAATTTAAAATAAAGGCATAATAAGTTCTATCTAAATGAATAATTAGTTCATTTTCACTCATTTTCTCTGTGGGACAATTTTTTGAGCCTTAATATTTACCTGAACTTCTGAATTGGAGTCAACAGGCTGTAGTGAAAACCAAGTTTCTTTGCCGCTGTGGTTACATAAGTCTTCTTTTCTGATGGCTACTTTTCCTACAGAAAGTAAGTAAAACAATGTAAGAAAACATATTTTGTATAATCCTAAGATTCATTAGCACTGTTATATGTCATACTTTGTAGAAAACATTTTTAAATAATTTGTACCTGATGATACAAAAATTCATTTTCATATAGCACTTTTCTATATTTCCCCTTACCTCTCAGAAGACCCTTCTCTAGACAAAACTGCATTGCATTTACATGCAACAGCATTTTTTGATATTATTTAGATTCACATTCTTACAGTACATTCAAGTATAAAAAACTATGTATAGTTTACTGATCTTCCCTTGAATAAACCTTATGTTGTAAGAGTTTATAAGTTCCAATCAAGAACTTAAAAGAAAAAACAATATCTATCATACATGGTTAACAAAAGCGAAAATTGACTTGAATATTATGGAAGATTAGAACAACAATTTTATTATTAAAAATACGCTTTTACCAAAACATTACAAACATTGACTACCTTGCTCCAATGCATACAAAAGATAAGGCAGTTAGTTCTCTCAAGAGTTTCTACATCTCAGAGGAAGAAGATAAAGTACAATGAACATAGTACTATGAGAGGAAGAAACAGAAATGTTCTTATTATAATAAAGTATTTGCTATGTTGGTACAAAGCATTTCCTTCCTCAATTCAAGTTTTAAGAACTAGAGTTTTTGCATACGCTCAACAATTTATTCCAGGATTTTATGTAAAAGCTTCAACAAAGGATATATACTAAAGTTAAAGTAGTTAACTTTCTTTTATTTTGTCAAATGAGAATTTTTATTTTATGTGTCCTAATTATACTTAATTTCCTTTCACTTATGATATACCTTGGTCTTTGAGTTCAACATTTGAAAACTTTCAGAAAATTATAAAGAAATTCTTCCATGCTCATCAAGTTTTGTGGATAAAATGAAAAGGAATGATAGGAAAACAAACAGAAAAACTATGCTCAAATTTTTATTCTGGAATTAGTGGTGATGGTTGCACAACTCTGTGAATATACTATCATTGTATCATGCTTTTTTTCATTTAAAAATATTTTATTTTAAAATAATTTCAAACAAAGTTATAAGAATAGTACTTAAGACTTCCATATTCTCTACCCAGTTTCCATAATTAACATTTTACCACACTTTTCTCATGTATATTATTCTTTTTCTAAACCACTGAAGAAAAAGCTACAAACATGATGGACACTGGACACTTTAAAAAGTTGAATTTGATGGTATGTGAATTATGCCTCAATAAAACTGTTATTAGAAAAACTTAACCATATTGCAGTTTTTGATAAACTTATCTTCCCATTTTTGACTTGGAATTTAAACTATAAAAATAACATACATATGTATAATTTTAAGGAAAATATTAAAACATACAGCTATTTTTGTTATAGTGGCAACTGTATTAATAATATAAACCAAAGGCTTACTGAATTCAACAACTATATACATTAATAAAGCTTAAAACACATAAAACTTTCAAATTAATAAATTGTCCCTGACAACAAATATGAACCTTTCCAACTTTCTTTTAAATATTTTAGATGAAATCTAATGTGAAGATCAAAATTTTGTGTGAATATCTAACATTTAGATATCATTCAAATCACGTAGAAAATGGCACAAGGAAAACAATATATTTCAGTTCTTTTTTGGTTAAATTTAAGATAAAAATGATAAAACAGAAATTCTTCTAGTACTAAATATACATATTAAATGCCAACTATAGAATTCAGGCATTGACTGGAACACTCAAATATTCCTTACACTATTGAAAGAGCTTAGGTAATGACACAAATCTTATAGATCTCTTGATAAGTTTTACCTATGCACTGTATCAAATTCTTGGCAAATCAATGTAATGCCAGGAATAGCTCAGGACACAAAATTATGCCAAAGTAGTCAATATTGCGTGCCACAAGTAATTATGATTATCATAATTCTATCAAGTAGTTCTAATTACCATAGATTCCACACCAAATATAAATAAAATATATATGATATATATAAAATCTATATATAACATATTATTATATTATATTAAATATATATTATATATATTAAAATCTATATATAACATAATATATTATTGAGACAATGGATAACAGTTTGATACTTTTAAAAAACAAATAATATATATACAGACAGAAACAGGTTTATACATCCTCAGCTAAAGTTCCTACCTTTGGGAACCATCCCTCTCCCCTTGAAGAATCTTTATGACAGTATTTTTTATGTCTTTTCCTTAGAAAAAGGCACAGATAATATCTAGCATATAATTTTAAGAGAATTTACTTACTACTTGGAAACCCATTAATAGATTCATGATGAAAATCTCTATTCTAGGCCTGGTTCGGTGGCTCACACCTATAATCCCAGCACTCTGGGAGGCCGAGGCAGGCGGACTGCCTGAGTTCATGAGTTTAAGACCAGCCTGAGCTAGAGAGAGACTCCATCTCTAAAAATACTGGGTGTTGTGGCTGGTGCCTGTAGTCTCAGCTACTTGGGAGGCTGAGGTAAGAGAATCACTTGAGCCCAAGAGTTTGAGGTTACTGTGAGCTATGACACCATGGCACTCTACTGAGGGGAGACAAAGTGAGACTCTGCTCAAAAAAAAAAGGGAAAGGAAAGAAAATTTCTATTCTACAATTTCTGTAACTTTTAGTTTTGTGCATAATTTATGAATCTGTATACAGACGTCCACATGTGACATATAATAAACATTGCTAAAGCAAGCCTCACACTTAAAAAGAGGGTTTTTAAAAAGTTTATTTGGGTCAGGCACAGTGGCTCATGCTTATAATCCTAACATTCTGGGAGGCTGAGGAGGGTGGACTGCTTGAGCTCATGAGTTCAAGACCAGAATGAACAAGAGTCAGACCTCACCTCTATTAAAAATAGAAAAACTGAGGCAAGAGGATCGCTTGAGCTCAAGAGTTGGAGGTTGCTGTGAGTTATGACGCCATGGCACTCTACCCAGGGCAGCAACTTGAGACTCTGTCTCAAATAAATAAATAAATAAATAAAATAAGATAAGATAAGATAAAAATAAAAATAAATTAAAGGTTTATTTGGAAGTTTAGTGGGTTGATCAATTCAATCCCTCATAGAACAAATATTACTAAATAATCACAATGGCACTGTGTTGTAAATGGTGATCTGATTTCCAGGTTCCCCCAACCAAAGTGTATTTAACTAAAAATGCTTCTAAAAACTAGGTTAGGAATCTACTTCTTCTATTATGAATGATAACTCAGATCACTGGAAATACATTTTCTCTGCCTCAGGTAAAAAGAGAATCCTCTCTCAGTCTCACAGGTAAAAAATTCCAGAAGCATTCATGTCCTCTTAATTCCATTTCTCATGTATCACAATCCTCATTGTCACTAAAGAATGTTTCTTGCCCTGTGAGGGGGAAACTCCTCCCTTACTAGCCACATAAGTTAAGAATAACCTGCAATTTTATTGCTAACTCTTATTCTTACATTCCTTTCTAAGAAGTCAGTTTCTGATATGTAAAGGTTAGTTGTATGAGGCTAACTGCCCTGAAGAAGAAGGAAAGAAAGAGTATATGATTCTAAGAAGCTGGAGAAACTATTCTAGAATGACAGAGGAAAGCTGGACATGGTGGTGCACACCTGTAGCTGCAACTACTTGGGAGACTATGACAGGAGAATTGCTTGAGCTTAGAGTTCAGTTCTAGCCTAGTCAACTTATCAAGACCATACATCTCAAAACTATAACAACAACAAAAAAATTTGAGTCATTAGGTAGGATTCTGACATGTCCAGCACTTATTAGGTAATATAACATATGAAAAAGAAACACATGTCATCAGCTCTAGGGAATAAAAACAGGGCAGTGGGAAAGGGAAAAAAAGAGAATGAAAGAGGAAAAAAAAGGTGGGAGGGTGAATGGGAAGGAAGTATGGGGTTCTCAAGAGAGGGACAGGTTTCTGGAATACAGTAAGATCCCCTCCCCGCAAAAAAACCCTCATGATTCTTACTGTTTTGAGTTATCATTAAGTTGACAGGCATTCACTGTAAAAGGTGGGCAGCCTAATATGGTGGAAAGAACACAGAATTCAAAGAAAAGGCAGCATTTAGTGGTAGAAGACCAGAAAAAGGCAACATCTACCAGGTAGAAGACATTCTACAAATTTTCTTAGTTAATCTTCATAACAATCTTGGAGACAGAGGGTATAATCACTATCTTAAAGATAAGAAAAGCTGAGTGATATTTTAAAACCTGCCCACCAACAAGGGCTGAAGCCAGATTTCAAAACCAAAGTATGCCTGTTCATCTTCCTTCCAATGCAAACACTAATCTGGCAACCTAGTGTCAATTCTATTACTTATTAGTTGTGTGATCTTGGGTGAATTACTTAAAACTCTACATCTGATTTGTATCCTTTGCATTAGAAATGACTTTCAACTCTAGCGATCTTAAAAACTACTCTGTGTCTCTAATGTTCCCAAAGATTATTTTGGTTTTGTGTTTACTATTTTAAACAAAGTTAATTATTTCAACAGCCATGAAATCACCCTCCTAAAAAAAAAAAAAAAATCAGCCAGGAACAAACTTGCCAACCAATCATTTTAAGGCACTATTTCATTTCCCCATTGGTCTGACAAACTCATAGACAGAAAAGAACTTAAATCCAAACATACATACATACACACACACACACACACACACACACACACACACACACGATGCTCTATTAGTTCCTTAAAATCAGATGAGGAAAGGAAACATAAAAAGAAGTGAAGGAGCTGTGGGCAAAGAAACCACCTTAGTCTGTAAGTTTAAAAAGTATTCCTAGCTTTCCAGTACCATTTTTAAGCAGTATTTTATTCTATTAGTAAATACTGCATTATTCACATGGGCCCCATTTTTAGATACAATATATTCTCAGAAATTTCAACCCAATACAGTTTACCAGCTAACAAAATCCTGATAGTCCTGGTTCCTACTTGGGCACTAGTAGAAATGGCTGA